AGACCTAATCATTTCCTATTAAGAATAAAATAAAAAACTTCTAATATCTTAACACACTGAAAAGAATTAAAACGTAGAGCAACAGAGTTTGTATGAAATTTTTACAAGTATTGCCAGTGCAACCCAAAACTTAGAATTTTTTTTTATCAGAATTTAGCAATGGTATGTGTGAAAGACAAATCAGAGACAGAGAAGCACCAAACCACCACCTAGCAATGTGAGAGATACATCATAACCAAAATCACAAAATCAAAGAGATTTAGCCCCTGTTTGTTTTGATATAAATTAAATTTTTAGTAGATTTTGAAAAAAGCCGATGATATGTTTGGTTGAAAAGTTGATAAAGTAGTGGGGTCCCATGTATGTGTTGTTGAAAATGAGTTTGGGAAAAACGAATTTTAAGAAATGGAGGTCTAACAGGGGCTTATTAAAAGAAGTTGGAATCTCAAATAGCACCTGGAATTTTAAAAATTCCCCAGCACACATTTGACACATCGGGACGACTCTATCTTCGGAAAGATAAGACAACTACGAAGTAATGCCAGAGGTAGCATAAAAGAGACGAGTCGCTAAAATACACATTAAAATTGCAAGGTGCAATAATGCATGTTACTTTAGAAAGAACAATACAATAGCATAAGACAACATGAAATAAATATACTGGAGACACATAACTTGCAATAAGTAAAACACTGCTTTTCACACACAAAAAAAATTGCTTCATTGACCATAGAATAGACAGAGAAAATTACCATGGTTGATTATAGAATCCAGCCCGCCGCTCTTTCTCCACATCACGACTGGCATCTGCAGTAGTAAGCTTCAAATCCCTGGCCTGAGAAGCAATTAACGCATTAATGAATTCCGCAGGCGACTGACTAAATCCAAGAAAGAAAGCTCGCCTCAACCGATGTTCATGGATTTTTTTCATGGCAGAAGAAATAGCTTCATCACAAGTATCAATCTCCTTGTTTCTCTCTAAGTTAGACAAGAAAATTGACATTTCCTTGTCTGGTAACAAAGGAACGTCAACAACCACATCATAACAAGTATTTCCACTTGGACAATTCCCAGAAAGCTTAACCCTGTGCTCCAAATGTATTGGTCCAGGTGAAATCAGATGCGGCGTTATCTTCTGTGTGACCATGGCAAATTTCAACTTATCTTCTCCAAAAACCTTCCTCAGAGGTGGATCACACATGAAAGAGGAAGCGTCACCAGGTATTTGTAATTTTCTCATCTTCACGTAGTGCCAAAGCGCTGCCATAATTCTTGGGCGTGTCTCCAACTCAATTCCAAGAACTTCTTGCAAGGCAGGTGAAAGCTTAAATTTCTCAGGCATATAATTCATCTCTAGTCTTATAATTGCAGTGAACTCTTTATCACCTTTTCTCTTCACCTCAAACCCTTCATGAAGTACAGGTGATCGAGAACTCTCCCACAAAATTACATTTTTGTCTGGATAGAGACTCTGATCCAAATATATAGTAATTTTCTTGAAGAAAGATGAAAACTTCGGGTATGATGACCTCTGCACCATTCCTCCTAAAGCAGGATCCCTCCCATCTTCCAAAATCCTCCCAATTATCTTGAGCGACCAAGAAGGTGGCTCAGCATTTTCCTTCTCAGGAACCATCTGTGTCTGATTGGCGAAAGTGTTGAACACATATATCCTCAGGACCTTCTGAGCCTGCATGGGTTTTTTCAGGGATTCCACAATGTCACTCTTCTTCCTAGCAAGGGCAGCATCCACGCGAGACTCAAATTCAAGCAACTGTGTATAAAGAGCAGACTCTGGCAAGATCGTTGCAACTTTATCCGGAACTTCTTTATCAGGAAGCTTCCGTTTCATTCTACGCACAGCAGGTGTCAGCTCCATAGTTTTCATAGGTGAAGCAGTGCCCTGACCAGAGGAACCACCAGAAGGCCGAGAAGGCGGCTTATGCAAGGGCCGTTTGCCACTGCCTGCTGCTCCAGACCCTGGGGTGGACATGGAGGGAGAAGAGATACCCATATTACTGTTACCCTGAGATTGGAGTTGAAATTGAGCCACTCCTTGGGCTTGAGGTAACTGAGCCTGGCCAAATGACTGAGTATTGGGCTGAAAATGGCCTGGGAAGTGGATCCCACCTTGAGGTCGCGCCTGAGATAGCAGGTGGGACGCATGTTGTTGGTTATGGTTAATTGGCGTTTGAATCTGCATCGGCATTTGCATTTGCATTCGCATTGCCCCTGGATTCGCAAAACCAATATTCCTCCTCAACGGATCATTGTTGTTCATGTTATGATGATTCATAGAACTTCCACTATTCTACAATAAAGTAAGAAAAATCCACGAATTTCACTTAAAAAAAAAAAAA